CCCCCCCCCCCGCCCCACGCACTGGGGGATTGGGGGCAGGAGGATGGGAGTGAGGGGCTGTAGGCTGGGAATGAGAGGCACCAGTAGGGCCAGAGGCCTGCAAGTCAGGAGGGAGGGCCACCAGCAGGGCTGGGGGGAGGGTGCTGTGGCTTAGGGATGAGAGGCAATTGCAGGGACAGGGCACTGGCATATCAAGGCTGCTCAGTGCCACAAAAGTGGTTGGGGGCAGGGAAGAGGGGGAGGATAGCTGCAGCTGGATCCACGTCTTGGTGAGTGAAGGTGAAGCTTTGATTTTCCATGATAAAAAACCCCAAATCAAATGCCAAAATATATAGATATTTAGAAATTATTTTATTTTACTGATTAAGGCATTGGTAGGCTTCCAAATTGGTTTAAAACTGTAAATGTATCAATAAAACATTGTGTTCAACTGATACCTATATATATGTTTTGGGGTATGTATGAATTTGGGTTTTTTAAAATCGGAGAACCTGGGATTTTTAAACAAAACCAGGATCCCTGCTGTTCAGTAATGAAGGCTATGTGAGAAGGAGCATAAGGGAAGACTGGAATGCAGAGAAAAAGGACGCTTGCAATGACAGAAGAGAAAGGCAAGGGATAGTTCACACTGTGAAGGATAATCTATATCTGGTATCAGGCACAGGAGAGATAAAGTAAACTGATCAGAGCACTGTATACTTCTAAATTTGTTACAATAAACTGCTTTACTTCTGTAGTAGGATTCTTGCAGTCATTATCTTGAATATTTCATTAAAAGATTCACGAACAGTGAGAACTAAGGCTGCTGCCACATTACTAGTTAATTGTGTCTTAAGCTGTAACAACCATGAGTTAAAGCAATTAATGGCATCATAAAACAAGGAATAAGCCACAAAGTTATTCTAACTAATAACTTCGAGGCTTGCTCCTATTACAACATTAACTGAACATGTGGCCAGGTGTGCCCCCATGACAGAGCTCCATCAACTGACTGAGCTCCCAACTGTGCGAGTGCATGGTGCTCTATCCTGGGCTCCCCCTCCATCAACAATAAGTTACAATAGGATCTGATGTTTGATCTCACAATCATGCCTTCTGCTACAAATGTGTGATATGGCAGGAAGTGTGACTGTGTGGACTGTGCAATCAGATCCCATTTTGCCTTTACCATAGAGTCGCAGAGAAGCAGGACTGGAAGGGACCTTCACAAGACATCTAATCCAACCCTTGCTTCAGGCAGGATCATTCCTATCCAAACCATCCCATATAACCAGAATCTAAACACTACATACATAAGAATACCATCAATCCCGACATAACGTAGACCTAACACCCTAACCTGCCACTTGTAAAACAGGAGAACCATGGCAGGCAATGTCCTGCTTCTTTAAAATGTTGACAATATATGTTCAAGAGGTCCCAGATAGAGGGCCACGCCCAATGCTAGAGAGCAAGGCAAACACCCCCACAGCCCATACCAATCTGACCATGGGGTAAAATTCCTTCCTGACCCCAAATATGGTGATTGGCCTGACCCTAAGCAGAGGGGCAGGACCTTTCAGCCCAGGAATCTCTGGCCTTGTTCCTAGCAGGAGAATCGGTACACGCCAGTTGAAGTCCACAGGCGTGGCTGTAGCCAGCATCCAATGCCTCCAGGGAGGCTTAAAAACAGCCTGACACACATAGCAGAAAGGGGCAGGGAATGGTGGTGGGGGAGGTGGAAGCAACCAGTAAAGCCCAGAAGCATGGGAAATATCCATGGTAGAAAATAGGCACAGCTATGCCTAGATCATCCCTGACCAGTGGCTGTCCAGCCTCTTCTTGAACACCTCCAGTGATGGAGAGTCCACACTGCCTCACTATTCTATCTGCAGGGATCTAAGAGTTATTTACATCCATAAATAGCCTTTCATTCTGTATTACAAGTTAGTGTTCGTTTCAGCAGATCTCCCTCTTCTCACACACACATATACCCCTCAAAAACAAGACTGCAAAAAGCATGTAATTTACTTATATGGACAACGCAAGATGACATCCAGAGTGTACTTTCCATGCCATGTAAGTTACTGTATTCTGCTTATCTTGCATGCTATGCTTTGATTAAGACTTGTAACATTCAATATTTAAAAAACAAATGAAATGAAATGAAATTCAGATTCTGAATTTCAACTCATTAGGTTGGAGGAGGTATAAGACAAAGTAGCTAAATATTAAGAACTATGAACTCCACATTTTGCTTTTTAGTGCATCATCCAAAGATGGTGGGAACGAATGAGCTTTCTTCTGTCATCCTTGGTCGAAAGGGTTATTATTTGGCAGGAATATAAAGAAAACTGTGATTCTCAATCAGGGGGCTATAGCACTCCAGTGGTGCTGTGAAATCCTTTTAAGAATGTTGTGAGGTGCTACACAATATTAGCACCTACATGATTACCACCTCTTTTAGGATTACCACACCAGGCTCTCTAATATTGTAAGCTAATTAATTTAATTAACACAGGGAACTACTATTTTTCCATGTCCTAACTTTAGTGGAGCTACAACAAAGCCTTACACTAGAATCTTACCCTAATCATCAGACTGAGAGTTACTGAAACTGGGAAGTTAGCAATTAGCCAACTGAAACAAAGTTGATGCATCATTAAGTGTACACTTTGTTCATTTGAGATGTTTGTAGTTTAATTTTATTAATTCACAGTATGGCACTCTGTTACACTACAGCATCTGGACATCAGATACAAAATTAAGCTATTAATAAATACTCTGTTAAGATAACAAAAACTTAATAATGAAGCCACACTATATTTTTCAAGTGTATTATATTTCTCAATAAATGGAGCTATTTAAGTTTGAACCTTAATATTACAATGAAATTTGTTATTAATTTTTTATTCTGTGAAGTATAATGCTATATACGCATTACAATTTCTTGACAAACGTAAACCACAGTAACCATCTTTCTGCATGCTTTCGGGTTGTGACCACCTTCCTTTGTAACACCCATTTTAAGCCAAACTATGTGACCGTCACTCCGGCAAGTTTTTTTGTTTTTTTGTAAATAAAAATTACATGTGCTGGATATGTGAACTGCAAAGAAGAAATTTCTCACTTCAGCTTTCTTTCATAAACTACCCTTTCAAATTTATTACTAGATGCAAAACAATCAAAAACCACATCTTCTCAAACTGAACTATGCCTAATGGCATAAATCCTTTCTAGAGCAGCATCTAACCTGAAATTTTAAGAGAGTAGTTCTTTCCCATAAGCAATCGTATGGTAAAGAAAGATTTTACCTGACTGGATTCTGTTCCAGCAACACTAAGGTCTTGAATGGATCTACGCCTCTGCTGTCCGTTTCCTGCTGGGAAAAAAAGACAACACAAAACAATGAAATCTGCTCAGGAACAAAATAAGAAGGGTGCGACTGTTGCAGCAGGAGCTTGGAATTTGTACAAATCCACAGAGAGAAAGTTGGGGGGGGAGGAGGAGAGAGAGAGAGGGACAGCTGCAGAATTTTAACTCAAAAAGTGCTGGCCTGTCAACAGAAAGTGTATCCTAACACAATAATCACTCCAACCACATGAATAGCTTTTGCACTCTACTCTAACATCTTCTGTCACATGTGTTTCAGCAGGCTTAGTACTTGGGGGCAGGAGCTGATGACGACATCTATTTCAAGTGCGTTACGTTATGGGAATTTCTAAAGCAAGACTGCTAAGATAACACGCAGCCAGCTCTAACCTGTTGGTTTTTTTAACATACCGAAGCAGCAACACATGGCAAGGCCTTCTGACTGCATTATGTTCCTCTCGCATAAAGAAAAAAGGGGAAGTGTTTATGTCAAGTCTTTTAATTATAAGCAAAACTATTTCTTATTATCACATTCTGAGAACTAGGAAAGAAGGCCATTCTCCATCTAAATCACTTTTTTATCTCAATCTACAAAGCACAATGCTGTAATCCTCCTCCTTCTCCTTACACCTGTTAGCAATTATCCACCACTGACAGCTATATCAAACAGTTTAAAATTTAACACTGCCAGTCGATCAAGGAAATTTTAATGAAACCAAGTCTCCATTAGAAATAACATGGATTATGCAATAGAATTTCTCTTGGCGCTTTGATTTTTTATTAACATGATTGTTTACATGGTCTCTTGAGATGACAGGTCAGCTGTCCAAAAGGAAACACAAAAACGTTTTAAGTAACAGCTGACAATGCTCAAAATTCTTGGTCCTGGGTCTGCATTACGTAACTTCTGCTAGTGGGTAATGCTTGGAACACATACTATAACAGTTGCAGCACTGAACGCTTATCGCAGCTCCCCAGTCAATCTTTTCTAACAAGCTGCAGACTTTTTTAAACTCTTAATTTTTTGTTTGATATCATTTCAATGACTTAGAGGTTTTCTGGACATAAGATTTTAATCTGCACATCAATCAGAACAAAAATACAACTAATGTATCTTCTATATACACACTGTTTAAGAAATCACAGATTAAAACGTTTAACTAGATTGTCCTACTACTGTAACGTGACAGGCCTGTGTATTTTAAAAATAAATTACCAAAAACCAAAATACAAAGTTCTCACATTAGCTTTACCAAACCATGATATGGCATTATAATTTTATAATCGCTTTAAGTACCAAAGGGGAAAGAACAGTTCAAAAGTTCAGGAAAGAGACAGGGAAGTCTACGATCGGAGTTGTTTTTCTGACCAACCATAACCTTGTTACAGATGTCCAAGTGACTCGGGCTTTGTTCAGATCATGAACTTACCAAGCTCATCAGCAGTGCCCAGAAATGTACCAGACTGCCTGCACAGGCCGTTTCCTTAAGTGGACGGTGTGCAGCTGTATTGAGCCAATTAATATCAGGGCAAGCTAACTGGCAGTATCACTCAGATTGACAATTATCTTACAGTGTTGTAAGGAGATTATACTCGTTTTGGTTCTGCAGCCAGCCTATGTGGAGCAGTGCAGCAAGTTTGAGGGTGTTCCAATTGGACAAGTAATTAGACCAACATGGCTACAGCCAACATCCCTAATTAGACGAGGCACTCTGTGATCTAGGTGTAGCTTCAATTTTCTGCATCTGTAATTTGGGAAAATAAATACTTACCTACGTAAGAAAAATTGCTATTAAACCTAAGGAGCGTTTGTAAAGCTATTACAGAATTAAATGAAAGTACCTTGTGAGAATTATTACACTCTTGCATTTTAAATAACTATTTAGCCATATCAAAACAAAACTATACATTAATTGAAGATTTATGCTCCTCTAATATTTTATCTAGCTACTGCAACTCATCTTGGTACTCATGATACAGATGATCCACCCACGGCTGATCCAACAATTATGTTTGCATTTCATTCAACAGCACCATTCTAAAATTAGCCTGGCTGAAAGAAGCTTGCAAAAAATATCTGGAATTCTCAATTCAGATTAGCAACATTTGTGAATTTAAAGAACCCAGCACATGTGCTCCTGAAACATTAGACTGTGGAAGCCAAAAAGTTAAAAAAAAACAAACAAACCCCAAAACCAAACCAAACCCAACCCAACCCCCCCCCGCCCCAACAAAAAAACCCAGGGTGGGGTAGAAGAAAAAAAAAAAAAGAACACTTTTGGGGACAGGACAAAGGGAGAGGATTAATAGAACCGTAGTGAGTCTATGCCTTTAGATGAACAGATTTCGAGCTAGCAATATGTAGGCAAAAGCAAGCTACGCAATGTCATTTTAATTAGTATAGCTACTGCAGACAACTGCCAAACAGATCAGACGAAGCAGAAAACAACGACTGCAGATCAACAAATACTTGTTGCTCCAGAATCGATATTAATGTTATTTTCAGTATATGAACATCAGAACATGAATGTTCCTTTCATTTTAAATAATTATTCCTGGTCTACATATCTTCCACTCCGTTACTCCCAATTGATATGGACTTTGTTCATAGCTCTACATTTATTTTAAAACTGTTTTTGGAACAGACTTTTTAGGGTAGAAAAATATCTTTTAATAAGAGATCTAAACAAAAAAAAAAGAATGAGATTAAAACAGAATGTATATAATCAGAACCTAAGAATGACAGATATAATGTATGGTTCAGCAGCATATTATGTAACATGGAAAGTTAAATAAAAACAGACTGTTGACCAAAGAATTTATGTATTGCATATGTTGAGAGATTCACTTAGGATTTCATGGAATGCATATGGTGTATTTTCACTGGTCAATGCTGTCACTAACAAAATAGAAACTTAAATGTAAGGACCAAGTCTAAATAATAAATAATTATATTGATTGTTTACTGCAAAATATTTGGATGCCTAGGAACTCTTCCATCTATTACTTAGTTTGTTGAGTCTCCAATGTATTTGTCTTCTTCATTTTTCCAACCCATTTTACTCTTTTCCTTTTTTTCTACCTGCTTGCCTGCCTTTTCCTTTGTCTCATTCCAGTCTCGCTCCTCCTTGGTGTTCTTTTATCCCATTTCTTCTTTTTCTTCTCTCTCCTTTCACTCTCTTTCCTCTTACTGCACTGTATTCCCTCCTCCCTGCAATTTAACTCTCTCCTCAGTACTTTTTTCTTCATATTGCTCACCACCTTATCACACTGTCCCTTCCCCTGGTGAATGGCTTCTCTCAGTCTCCTGCCTCCTTGCTGCAAAATTCTTACACAAATTTTCTCTGCCCATAACATTTAGAGAAGTGCTTCCTATTCTCAAAAAAAAGTTTTGCACCCTATTGTCTATATTTGAAGAAACAAGACACACACAAACATAAAAGCTCCTATTCAACACATGCAGCTCCCATTCAACAAATCTAAAGCAACTTATTTTTGTGTTTGTGCAGCTTGTTTTTCTTACTGGATACCTACAGCCTCCCCTATTTCTCTCTCTGGCCCTCTCACCTCAAATAGCTCAAATATG